AGTACTGATTAAATGTCTACCCTTTCTGTTAAAGTAACAAGTAATGGTTAAATGTCTACCCTTTTTGTTGAAGTAACAAGTAATGGTTAAATGTCTACCCTTTCTGTTAAAGTAACAAGTAATGGTTAAATGTCTACCCTTGCTGTTAAAGTAACAAGTAATGGTTACTAAAGCAGTACGTAAAAGAAAATGATAGAAAGAGAAGACCAGCTTTTTAACTTCAATATCCACTTATATTTGAAACATATCTTACGTAAACGTATTTTCTCACAAGTATTAGTAGTTTAGTGAAGGTTCACCTAATACAAAGTCGTACTTCACAACTACATTCGTTGTTCACTACTTACATTTGTTGTATGAAGGAAAACTGATAAGATTAATACTTTCTCTGACTGGATAATTGGGCAATTCGATAGAAACTCGTTTATCTTTCTTTTATATTCGAGTTGTTTTTTTTATTGCTTTTAATCTTCTGAAGATTAGAGATTTTACTTACAGATAAAGACAAGTTTTTCTTCTGGGATTGTTGCTGAAGAACTGCTGACTGAGGTGGAGCCTGTGGCTGTGGTTGGCCAACCTGCTGAGTTTGAGAGCCTGGAATGTGAACTTGCACAGTCATTCCTCCCATGGAAGCCAAACTGCCAATAGTAGCCGTCCTAGCCGTTACAGATGCCGAAGCCTGCGGTTGCTGTACCCTTGCCGGTTCCTGAGACGGAGGAGAAACCTGCAGTTGAGTGTTCATTGACTGTAGAGTTTGCTGGAAATTCTCTCTTGCCTGGTTAGTGGCAGGTGTAGCATTTCCTACAACGATATAAGGAATATTTTCACAAATTGATTATCAATCGAGATACTGAAGTTACTTAACTGAAAAATCTAAAGCTGCCGAAGAGATCTTGGAAGCCTTATGAAAACTTCCATTAACTCGTGCCACTGTAGAACCCTCCACCAATAGGAACGTGACACACCTCCCCCTACATTTGTGCTTGTGAATTCTCATTTGTTGATGAGGCAATGAAGAAACTGAAAAGGTATCTATCGGAAATACATCTTCAGGTTGGGAAGATATTAACTTCTGAAACAAATACTCACCTCTTGCACAGAATAGCTAGACTCCCACACTGTGAAGGAAGTCCGTGGGGTGTGCTTCCCAATAGCAGGGTCTCCATAGGGACACACCCATGGGATGGGAGATCGCATCTCATCTCATCCAGGGTATCCTCTTCTTCTGTTTATGAGAATAGAAGTGGCAGAAAAGCCATAAAAATGTCACAAAGAAGGGTGGAATAGATACATGGCCAACCGGGTACTTGTACACAAGCTGTCGGACACGAAATGTGTGAAGTGAGGTTGGGGCTCATTCAGGCTGTAACTTTTGTTCTCACCTACATCAGACTCGACGGATCAAAACCAGCTGTGGGAGAAGGGCACTTGTGATAAGTACCCGTGCTCACCTCCTCTACCATCAGTATCTATAGGGCCCATGCCAGCCATTGGAGGAGGGTACTGTCAGTATGAGAACTTATATACACCTCTACTCAACCATCAGTCACTACAGGCCCCTTGCCTGCTATGGTACTAAGGTATTTGAGTGATACTTCACTGGTGTATATGGTGTGGTAAGCTCAACTATACTGTCAGTTTCTATGGGCCTCATGCCAGCTGCAGGTGTTGGGAATTGGACTAAATACATCTCTACTTGATTGTCAGGCTCTATGGGCCACACACCAACTGTGGTGTTGTTTGTTTGTTTTATATGGACCCCTCACTTGGACTCGCACCACTTTTGGTGTCACCCCAGAGAGGGACTCCTTGTTCTAGTCCCAGCAGTTAGGTCCCAATCAGTGAGGGTTCTCTATGGTCCACCACCCTAGTGGCTGAGAACAGGTAAGTGCCAATGGGTGCCTGTAAAACCCTATTTTTAAAGCTAGCAAGTGCTAGCCAGAGAGGTGGGCAGATACACAACTCCAGTGATGGCTTTATCCATTCTGGGTCTGGGTTGGACATGGAATGTAATATATATATATAGACGTACCACATAGAAACCTCAAGTAGTCTTGAAGAACACCACATGTCACAGCAGGCACTTGTAGAGCTAGGATGATTGTACGAGTGTTTTTCATTATCCTAACTTTATTTGGGTAAGCATACTCTGGGAAGCAACACTGTAATTAGTGTTGAGTAAGAAATATATAAGTACACTCTCATCTAGCCTAGTGAAATTGGGCTGTAAGAGAATGTGTAAAGTGTGAAGATAAAGGGATATCAATTGTTTATGAAAGGGAAAGAAATGTGTAGGGGACACATGTGCAGCCAAGTGGATTGAGGGGTTTCAGAGAAGCCATGGTCCCCTGTGTAAGAGACATGTGCAGCCAAGTGGATTGAGGGGTTTCAGAGAAGCCATGGTCCCCTGTGTAAGAGACACGTGCAGCCAAGTGGATTGAGGGGTTTCAGAGAAGCCATGGTCCCTCCCCTGTGTAAGGGACACGTGTGCAGCCAAGTGGAATGAAGTGTTTCACGGAAGCCATGGTCACCAACAGAGATAGAAACTCTTGCACAGAATGTGAAGGTGAGGTGTAAACTTTGGTGACCATATGCTTGAGGTCCTATAAGCAAACTGGAGAAGGTTAGAGAGAAGAGAATTGAAAAGAATCTCCAGGCAGATGAGATATTGGGTCTGGGTAAGGAAGGACTTGGAAATCTTGATGAGCCAGAAGTGGAAGGGTGAGAATGGGACAATCAGGAAACTACGGAGGTAATGGAAGATTGACGGAAGGCAGCTTCAGCACATGATTCAAGGGATGCCACCAAAAATCTCCTGAAAGAAAAGGGGAAGAAAGAAGGTAGATGGACTTGAGAAAAAGTAGGTTATCTTTTCCCAAAGGGTCCAAACAACAAAGGAACCAAGTGAGAAGAGAAAGGGTAGAGGAGGTGGAAGGGGCTATTGTAGAGAAGAAGAGCAACCTGGAGTTCTCTGAAAAGTCATCAGGGGAACAGTGAAGTGCTCCCATCATAGGGTGAAGGGAACATAGGTACCTAAGGAGGGTAGAGAGAAAGGCTGAAAGTCAGGAGAAGATAGGGAAACAGCCAATAATGAATGTGCATCCCAAACTGGCAAGAGTGACTCCAACGACTGGATATAAAGGAATGGGAAGTTTGAGTGACCATATGCAAGAACATAAGAATCAGTCAGGTGAAGGGGAGGAGGCATAAGGTTGCAGGAATCAAAGGGGAAGAAACATAAGGTTGTAGGAATCGAAGTGGAGGAGGCATAAGGTTGTAGGAATCGAAGGGGAGGAGGCATAAGGTTGTTGGAATCGAAGTGGAGGAGGCATAAGGTTGTTGGAATCGAAGTGGAGGAGGCATAAGGTTGCAGGAATCGAAGTGGAGGAGGCATAAGGTTGCAGGAATCGAAGTGGAGGAGGCATAAGGTTGCAGGAATTGAAGTGGAGGAGGCATAAGGTTATAGGAATCGAAGGGGAAGGAGCATAAGGTTGTAAAAATCGAAGGGGAGGGCATAAGGTTGTAGGAATCGAAGGGGAAGGAGCATAAGGTTGTAGGAATCGAAGGGGAGGGGCATAAGGTTGTAGGAATCGAAGGGGAGGGGCATTAGGTTGTAGGAATTGAAGGGAAGGAGGCATAAGGTTACAGGAATGAAGTTGATCTAGAAAGGAATTGGCATGTACAATTTCAGGAGAAACAAAAAATTGCAAGGGGAAGGGTTTAGTGTTAAGTAATAAAAGAATGGGAAGAGTCAAAGGATTTGTTTGTTTGCAGCTAAGCACAAAGCCACACAATGGGCTATCTGTGCTCTGCCCACCACGGGTATCAAAACCCAGTTTCTAGCATTGTAAGTCCCTAGACGAGTCAAAGGATATGGGAGAATGTGAAAGACATACTTGAGTAATATGGTTCTGAAATCTAACAAAGACTGATTTTCAGTAGGTATGGGTAAATTCATCTTCCTCAGCCGCAAGATGAGGAAGAGACCGAAGCACAGATTCCTGGATGCATCATTGACTCCACCACATGTTGTACAATGGCCGTCACATTTGGTGTTTTTCTTCAGTGCGAGAAACACCTTCACTCAGATCAGCAGAAGGAGAGTTCATATTAAAATGGGAATTTATATTGAGTATGATATACCCCAATGAAACGAAAGATGAAAATTGTTACAAAGTTCAGCAAATTAAAACACATACTGTTCCCAACAGTACCAAGGAAAAGAATGACAGTTCATGAGTGTCAAACACAGTGGTCTCACCCACCTCTTTCCATTTTTGGTAACATTTGCTTATGTATACCTACTTCTGTATATGACTTGTGAATAACCAATCGAAAGCTCAGAATGTCCCCCTAGTGGCTTTCTCAGACTCTTTCTTTCTTTTCATGCTAGATTCCAAGTGGTTAGGTTAGTCATTGTGCGTGAAGGTGTGTTGTACTTCTATTGGTTCCTAGTGTTCTGCTACATGATTACGTCACTATGCAGGGGTTCAAATTCACAAGTGATTAGGTGGGAGTTTTCACAAGGCTGGTGGTTTGTGAGTTTTTTTAACAGATTGCATGAACTCAAGTGCAAGCTCTTCTGTATGAAGAGATGAGTATTCATTTCAAAAATATATCTTATAATAACAGGCTTTATGGAAATATATACTAATACTATTTGTATAACATTATTACTCTATACTAAGTGTTCTGGGAGACATTAACTCTACTTAATACAAACATTCTAGCACAAGTTACGTGTATTAAAGAAGAAATAATGAATCAGAATTTTCATTAATAGTATGAAAAAAAGATAATTATTTACGGTGTATTTAAAGATGTTATAAGTAAAACTGATTATTGTATGCTGGAAGTCGTAATGTTTCAGTGAACAACGTTGATTTGGCAAAATAAGTTGAGTTTTTGATTTTACTGAAAATGGTAAAACATGATTTAGGAAACTAATTAAAAACTAAAGATAGGAAACTAATTAAAAACTAAAGATACCATTTCGGGATTTACCTGTAGCTGATGGTCCACCACTGGTTGACAAGGAAATAGGTGGAAGGTACGTGTTGTTTGTGGATGTTCCAATTACACTTGCCGACAACTGTAATATAAACCATAAATAAAGGGTGCTTTTTTTTTTCAGGCTATTTTTATGTCATTACTTCATTTTACTTTATATTCTACTGGACGTTTTAATTTATAAGCTAATACAGGTCTCTAGAATTTAAAATTTGCAACTTAAGCCTTTGTTTGAAAATTTCTGACATAGGTTTCACCTTCACACTTAAGTGTAGAGTGGGCCAATTAAATCCACTTTGCAATTGTGAAACTATACACGCTACAACTCTGAATTTATGATCGGTAGTCTGTTGCATACTAAAAAAAGCAATCTTCTAATAACATATTTTTGCCAAAAATACGTCTGAATTTACGAAGCTTTTATTGAGTCGGTTTGAGTGAAAGATGATTTTCCTGCTAAGAATATAAATATTTCTTTTCATTGTACAGTTTTAATGTTTTATTTGAATAACTTCTAGGACCTCCTAAACAACTTGTAAACTTTTATATTATATTTTATGTTATTGTCTCTACCCTAACACTAACCGTAATAAAATCACCAAAATAAAAAAGTAGAAAAATATGAAATAAAATAAACAAAAGGATGGTGGCATTAAAACCATAAAATTAAAATAAAACAGATGGTGGCATTAAAACCATAAAATTAAAATAAAACAGATGTGAAAAGGTAACGGTTGAAATTGTAACTTTAAGAAAATTGAATATCTCACAAAATGATATATTCAAAGAAGGAAATAGGACTGTCAAAAACAATAAATCCCAGCCAGAGCCCATTACCCGTCTGTTATAAATACCATGAGCTAAAGAAAATGAAAATGCATGATTCATGTGATCTTTACACTCACTGGCAGGTTTTACTTGTTAACACTATATCAGTTGTTCATTTTAGAACACAAAAAATATACAAGAGCACTAGAACAGAATGTCCTAAAACTGCTATTATTTAATTGGCTTTCTAATTAAGCTATAAACAGGTTTCACAGCAGAGAACGATGATTCCCCAAACCAGTAATGGGTTGCATAGGAAATCTATTTTTATTGGTTATAAACATGTCTATCAGATCTGTAAGGAGTATTAGCTAAGAAGAGAAAAAAGACAGCCAAACATGCTCTGTTAGGTTTGACAAATTTATTGATACCTTTGCAAATCAAGAAGTTATGAGATTCCTGTTTGTATTTATATGTAGTTTGTGTTTCTAGTTATTTGGACACAGAAAACTATATTGGAAAGATACAACATCTATAAGGAAGAAGTCAGACTCATCACACGATACATGTAAGTGAAGATTGAAGATTTCCTTTTGAGATTCAGAAATTAAAACTTAGATAGAATAAAAATCTGAATTATACCGATGCTAAGTTTATTGTCATACCTTGATAATAACGTTGTTTAATTAATGATATGTGCACTTTGACTCAGTTGTTTAATTAATGATATGTGCTCTTTGACTCAGTCGTTGTTTAATTAATGTGTACTTTGACTCAGTTGTTGTTTAATTAATGATATGTGCACTTTGACTCAGTTGTTGTTTAATTAATGATATGTGCACTTTGACTCAGTTGTTGTTTAATTAATGT